AGACGCCTGTGTTCAGTCTTTACCGGGTTTATCTATAATGATTATCTGAGGCTTTTTCCATGAATTTGGATAGTATCCGAAACTACAATAAAAATTGGAGTATTTGGTAGCTCCTTTAGGATCTTTGGAGTAATTTTTTCGTGTCCTAATAACTTTTTTGGATTTATCTCTTTTTTTATATTTTTAAATTCAAAAGTTAAAGTCTTACCAGTCAAGAGCGACTTGCTAGCAGTGTTGGGCAAAGTTATCAGATTAAAGTTGTTTTTTTAACAATTAGCCTGAAATACCTTCTCTTAGTGGTTTGCAAAGCAAGTTGCCTTTTCCTCATTACTTCGACCCCAATTACCACCCACGTCTCTTATGAGCATATTGAAATCTACCGGTGACTTAATGTGTTGTTGAGTTTTGCAAAGGGAGTTTTGATTGTTGGTTGAATTTGGGTTCAATTTCTTTTTATAATTTTCAGTGCTATATTCTTCCTCGCTGGACATCGATTTGCCATTTAAGTCGAGCTCGCCTGTTTTTAGCTACTAGGTTTTATATTTCATCATTTGTGATTTTTCTTAGAACAGGTGGTTTATTGCTTTCTTTAGGTGTTGCTAAAATAGCTGATTTAGTTATAATATCATTCAATTCACTTATGCTTTGCTCAATGTGCTTTTCTGAGTTTATTGGGTTGGGTTTTCTAAAGGGAGTTTTAATTGTTGAATTTGGGTTAAATATCTTTTTATAATTTACCGTTCTATATTCTGTAACAGCAGTTATAAGCGATCTATCTACATATATTTGTGATTACACCAAAATCATTTTAATCTAGTATTTTGTTTCGATTACTGGGCTAGTATGTCGGTTTACTAGAAGAAATTTTGTCAAGGTTATTGCGCCTATTCATAATAGTGTAATACAGCTGTCTTCCTTTCGGATTTATTAGACGTGAGCCGCAATACATATGCTTAGCATTGTAATCACCACCTGCTAGAAATCTATGTCCTAGACTACCAAAAAAGTTTTTGAATTAATTATCTTTTAAATATATTATTGTAGCTTTTAACTGGGTTGTAGCATGAAATTCTAAAACATTGTGGTGTCATCGTTTGTGACCAACACTGCTATTCTACCATGCGCCTTTCCATCTGGATGTTTTGTAACTAGAGTTAAAATCAGGTATAAAAAAATGACTCTTATTTGTTAGATTGTTTCCAATAATAGCATTACATCTAAATTTTTTTTTTATTTAGAAATCTAATGCTCTCCAATGTGTGTTGGTTGACACCGTTAGGATTCCATATACAAATATCTCTTACGACGGTGTGAAAATAAGAGAAATGGGATGATAACCCCACTCCCCACATAACGGTTTTGATGAAAACTACTAACTGATAACTCACTAACTAAACGTGTCAGAGACGTTAAATTTTACACATAAAATGATATAATTGAGCTTTATAGGAGCCAATATAAAAGTTGGTCAATAGGCGTGGCACCACCTTTTTTTATGTGAAACTTATATCTTAGAAACTAATAGACCAATTTCATATTTCGTGTATAACATTACGCTAACATGCCTAGGATATAAAACGAAAATGGGCGAAATCGGTATGCAATATACAAATTAAGCACCAAGGAATATATCGGTACAAAACTTTGAACAAATAGCGCCTTTGAGGTACGCTATCTCAAACCTAAAAAATTGTCAAAATCGGATAATAACTTTTCAAGCCCCAAGATACCGCAGATGTGTGCGCAAAAATGGGTGGAAATACATACCTAGTAGAAAGATTTTCGAACTTATACATACATCGACCAATATGTGAGTTAACTTAAAATAATTTATTGAGCATGTTTTTCTAATTACAGTGTATCTTTGCACCTAAAATGGATAAAATCGGGTAAAAACTTGCCTTAGCCGCTGGAGAACTAGTATCACGATTTTCACACATCTTTATATATACCAAATATAATATATCGGTAAGAATGTTACATATTTTAGCAGAAGCGAGTTGGTGTAGATCTTGGTCTAAACCTCATATTCCACATTAACTCAATATATAAAATTTATCCGCTTCGGTTGGGTGTGATATAAACCGTCTCATTTAAAGACGATTTTAATATTATTTTCGCTGGTAAAATAAAGTAATAAAACTCAGTGAGTCTATAACCTATAATATAACCAGCGTTGCCAACCTGTGGGTAATTCCCCAAACTGCGGGGAATTTCAAGTTGGTTTGGGGTTTATTGGGGATTGGCATTATGTGGGGAAAATGCGGGGATTTTGACATCATTTTCACATCGGAAAATATTTCATCGTTTATTATCGATAACAACATTTTTTTAAATCATTAAGTATAATCGTGACGAAAAATCAAAATACCGGTAATTGCACATCTCTAATAGAGAGAGATTCTCTATGTATGGCACATCCCTAGTTTGTCAGTTGTCTGTCTTGTCTTGTCTATGACCAGGGGATTCCCTTTTTCTACTTTATTAAATGTTTTGTTTTGTAACTGATAAATGGATGATTGAACATGTGGCTTCGTTCGTTTTTGTTCGTAGTTAATTAGTAGATCCAAGTTCAAAAAGTTGTGTTTTGTTTCTGTCGCAAAGTAACGATATGATTTTGTGCAAATATGGAAAAATGGTTATTAAAAGGTGCAAACAAAAA